GCTGAAACAAAATGTGCTTTAGGGTTTGTAGGGTTGGGGTTTCGAAAGGTAAACCCTAAACCCTAAACCCCTAAACCCTAAACCCCTAAACCCTAGTGCTTTACTGAGGCGGGTGCCCTGGCTGTTGAGCTTGGCGGTGACCGCTCTCTTGTCCGAGCCTTGGGGTTTAGGGTTCAGGATTTAGGGTTTAGGGGGTTCTTACCGTTTTTAACCCCTGGCCTTCTTTAGGGTTTGGGGTTTCAGGGTTTTACGGTTTTGGGCAGGTTTCAGGGTTTAGGGTTTTAGGGCTGTCTTTCTGTATGCAGGATATCGTCCTAGCGCAGTGCCGACAGGATGGCTTGTACCCTTGCAAAGGGTACAGTCTTGTGCTAACTAGGTATCGCTTTGAGAAACGTTTTAAGTCCAATCTTGTTTAATGCAGAGCCCTAGTTTAAAATAGTTCCGGGCTTTGTTGAAGTCGACGCCTACTTGGGCCTACTTGGTATGGAACAGGAATATTCCTACTATTTGCTTAAGAAACACCCAAAAAATAAACATAATAATCCCTATATTACCCCCATAAGGAATATATTTTTTATTTTTGGTGGTTCCTAAGCAAATAGTAGATTCCCTTAAGAACTCGACAACAGCCGGGCTTGGCGAGCCTTCAACTCTTCCTGAATGAACCCTCCAAAGATCTTTGACGACCCGACTTTTGTGGGAACCAAGCTGAAGTTATCACTCTGGTGAAAAAAGCATGGACATGTTCTTGCGGTTTTATGGTTTCTGGTGAATAATGTGGATGTCTTGGTGTGGTTTTATGGTGTCTGGCCAATAGTATGGATGTCTTGCTGCGGCTTTATAGTTCTGGGTTTTGTGCAAACCCTTCAGCATGCGACTCAAGAAGTTCCTTTGGAGGCACCCAGCGTTTCAGCTGAACTTTTCGTCTTGGATTGCAAAGGAGTTGGGCGACTGCCATGGGGACTTCGGTCGGTTTGGCTTCCGTCTCAAGGTTTGGGAGAACTTCAGGACTTGGGGACTATACCCCAAACCCTAAGACCTAAACCCTAAAATCCTAAACCCTGAGCCCTAAACCCTAAAATCCTAAACCCTAAGACTTAAACAATACTATTGTTATAAGCCCTCTAAGCCCAAAGCCCCTCCGCCTTAGGCCCCTAAACCCTAGGTGCCAGGCTTCGAGAGAAAGCGAGCCCTTCACGCAAAACCTACACCTCTGAAACTAGGATCTCCAGTAGTACCCTTATTCCCTTTTTGTAGTCCTAGGTTCCTTATAAAGTTACCCAATACCAAAAAGGGAGGCCTTTTTATTCTTAGGTTACTGGGTATCCTAGGGCTCTGAATGAACCAGGGGCTTCAAAGGGTCGGGGATGCTGATGGAAAAAGGATTTCAAAACGCAGAGCCTGAGCTTCACACATATATCTATATATAATGACAAACCAATACTATAAGTACTTGGTAATTGTATATATAGATAGAGAGAGAGAGAGAGAGAGAGAGAGAGAGAGAGAGAGAGAGAGAGAGAGAGAGAGAGAGAGAGAGAGAGAGAGAGGGGGAGAGGGAGGGCTTTGGATAAGTCTACTGCTGTCGAGGGCCCTCTTCAGGGCTTTCGTGCCCAGGCCGAGACAAGTCATGCTGCTCGCCGCTGCCTTCGCGGGCTGGAAGGCTCCCTTAGGGGTTCCTTTCAGGTCTCTTATAAGGGTATTAATAAAGGGGCCTAAATAATTACCAGTACTATTTTGGTGGTTCCTTATTATGACTATAGTACAAACCCCATTCTAATTCTGTGAGGCCCCTGTATTGTAAGGTTCCTTATAGGGTTCCTTTAGGGTTAGGGTTTGCGTGGTTAGGTTTTCGAGTTGGGGGATTAGATGTTACGGTTTAGGGATTGGAGGTTTGAAGATTTGGGCACGAGGTGTGAAGAGGAAGGAAGCAGGACGCTTGCACTGCCCGCAAGCAAGCTCCCCTGGTTTCGGATGGTCATCAACTCTTCGAGCGCCTGATTTTCTTAAGCTCCTGCATTACATCCTGAGCCCTAAACCCTACCTGGGCCTTATAAGACCTACCTTTTTGCTTCAAGTGTAGATTATTTGGGGTTCCTCGGTGAAGCCACCCGAAACGCGAAAGCATAAAGCCTAAACCTCTTCAGCAGATCGGTCTTCGACGGGCGCTTGCAACACCTCTGCTGTGGTGGATGGGTCTGTGCACTGGCAATGACGGAGTCCAAAGGGGGTTTCGGTGGGTACTTCTGTTAGGGTTTACGGCCTTGCTGTATCTTATATGTCGGAGTTGGGCTTAGACTTCTGTCAGGGTTTCGGGTTTAGGGGGGTATGCTCTTTGTTGCTTATTATTAGTTGTGACAGGGTTCAGGGTTTGGGGTGCCACTGTTTGAGTCCTTGGGAGGTTTGGCCTAATGCAGGGGCCGGGCAACTCGAACAGGGTTCCCTCAAGGGTAGTATAAGGGTCTTGATAGTAAGAACAGGGCTTTGGGTACATTACATGTTGGAGTTGGGCTTACATTTCTGTACAGAGTCAACTGTGATCTTTTTGGAAACTTAACTTAAGCTGATTTACCATTATCAGGATTCTTTTGGTAGATATGGAAATAGGAACCAATCCTGACTTTTCGGTACGTATCCTCTGCTCGTCTCTCAGCTCTGTCTGCAATGTAAGAGAGGGGCCTAAATTAAATAATTACCAATACTATTTTTTGTTGGGTGGGGGTCCTTTTCATAATTTTAGTATAATTAACCCCTAAACCCCATCCTCTAATTATTAAAGCCCCTAAAGTAGCTGCAGAACGGCTGCTCCTCGCGCACGACCTTGCAAAAAACTCTTGGGGCGCAGGGCTTTCCGATTCGTCACTTCTTTGGAGGTCACCTCACCAACTTGCCTGCATAAAAAGCCATGGCTACATCCCCGCAGCCCCGTACTACAGGGGTTTGAATAATTACCTATACTATTTGGGGGGATCCTTGTCATAGCTATAGTATAATGGGCTCCAAAACTCTATTCTAATTATCAAGGCCCCTAAAGTAAATCCATGTAAATCCTCAAAGCCCCCTGAGAGTCGTAAGATGCATCTAAGGAGCAACATTAACGGCCAGCTCTGCCGCGAACTGGAGTGGTACAGCTGCTTGGTGTCGTAATGACTGCTACTCCTCCTCCTGCTGCAGCTGCTGCTAGTTCCCCTTACTGGAGTGGGAGGGGAAGAGGAGGAGGAGTGGGGTCGGCATCACCCAGGGCAGCAGCAGCGTCGGGGCAGCGGTAGAACAGCAACAACAGTCCACGAAATCAATGCTTGCACAAGGTTCCACAGACTTGCTTGTAGCTGATGCCCCCGGAACCCAAACTTTGGGCTGTAACATAGGGGTCGGAAAAATATAATCTAATCCCCTCGTAGCCCCCAAAAAGAATAATCGTTCAAAACTCTAGTCCAATCGCTAAGGCCCCGATAATGGGCCGTAACTATGCCAAGGCTCCAAAGTAGTTCCTTTTGGGGATTACCTAATAGGATTCTTTATACGAACCACCAAAAGGAACTACTTTGGGGCCTTAGGGTATGCCAAGGCTGGTATTTGCATCCGCTTCGTGTTGGGCAACTGGCGCCTCCAGGTTGAATATATGGGAGCTTCCGAAAATTTGGGGTACCTTATTTTGGGGTCCTTGGAAGAAGGATCCTACTATATTTAGGGTACTATATTAAATAGGGTTCCCCATTTTCGGAAGCTCCCATATGGTCTGGGGGGGCTCGGGGACTAAGGAATGTTGACATATGTTCGCTTTGCGACTGCGTCGATGTCATGAGGGGTCTAGAAGGGATCCTAACTTCGAGAATATCCCCTCTCTTCAATTCAGGAAGCTGGTGTTCGACAGTACCGCGGACCTGCTTCGCGGCAAGACCTTTCGCGCCCTACGCGGCAAGCGCTCCGTTGATTGGGACTGGGACACCACGCAGCGCCGGCCAAGACAGCGCCCTCGGCGCTTTGTATGCAAGCACGTCCCTCCATAGCATGGCTTTTTACGAGCAAGTCTGATCCTGAGATGTGTTCATGTTGACTTCTTCCCACGTGGCAGATAGGCTGTTCAGGCGACGAAGCTGGTGTCCTTCGTGAGACCAAATCTTATATCGCAATCACTTGTCGCGTAAACTACACCCCGACACCCAGCCCGCGCTCTTGAAGGCGAGGAGCACCTGAACCTTAACCCCTAAATTCTAAATAAATCCTTAAGCCCCAAACCCCCTATGAACCTATCAAAGCCCTATGAACCTACGGTAGAAGCCAGAAAGTTGGAACATCAGTATCCTCATGCCCTTAAGGCAAAGGACAAGGGATCCTAGCACTAATCCTCCTAAACTCATGTTCCAACTTTCTGGCTTCTACTATAGTCCCCTGAGACCCCCTAAATATAAGGTGCGGTACTATAATAAGGACCCAAAACGGGATCCTAATTTTGACAACCACCCATGAGGCTGGAGTACGTTTGGGTGGAGCCTGTCTCCGAACCGCCTGGGGCCGAGGAGTCCTCTGCTCAGTCGAAAGGCGATCTGCCCTACTCTCTCTTGCAGCTCTTGGAGAGCTTGGACAAGGACCAAAAGGGGTTTAGGGTTAACGGTTAATCTTGGAGACTTTGGACAAGGACCAAAAGAGGTTTAGGGTTGAGGGTTTTAGGGTTTAGTAAAGTTTAGGGTTTGGGCATGGGGTTGAGGGCTTATTGGTTTATTATCTGTCTGGCTGGTTGCATCCAGCATGCCTCGGGGAGTTTCAGATTCGACTGTAGGGCCTAGGGCCTTATATCATAGGGATCCTTAGGGGTGTAGGGGGGAGGGGTGTAGGGGACTATATTTCCTTAAATAGGCCTTATTAGTCCTTATTATGGGCCTTAAGGCCCCCTACCCCCCCTCCCCCTACACCCCTAAGGATCCCTATGATTATAGAAGACCCTAAAGCCCCAAGTAGCGGAGGCTTTGTTATGTATTTCGTCCTCGTCAAGTCTCCCCATGCAGGAGGCCGGATGCGAGCTCGCTCCCGACATGGCTCTGGCCTCTGTTTTCGATTCTTTGAAGCTCACTGCTCTTGTGGGAAAAATGCGGCGAAAGGTTGCCCCGAACCTCTCTCTGAGGGATGCCCTGGCTTGCGACACGGTCCTGGATTTCTTGAAGCTTCTTGCAGAGAGGAGTGATGCAGATCCACCCAGCAGGGACATCGCCGGGTCAAGGGACCACGCCGACTCCGGCTTCCGAGTTCGGGAGTGGCCGTACATGTTTTCACTGTCTGTCTGCTGGGCCTTGGAATCAAAGGAGCCTGTGAAGAAGGACGTGCTCTGTCGCACCCTGGAAAAGCTGAAGCGGAAGCACGGAGCCTTGAGAATGCAACTTGCAGACCCGCCTGCCTTGTGGGATTTTGCCATGGATGCTGCTGCGAACCTCTCCTTCTCCAGAGCGGTGCTACTGCGTGGGCGCCCACGGCGTCCCGGCCTGTCGGCTAGGATCTTGAGTGGCGTCGGCTTTCTGCTGTGGACGGCCTGGCCTCGCTTGACGCAGACAGAAGATACAGAGGTGGGTGGTTGTTAACACTGTGCCCCCTTTTGGGTGTGCAGAATTATATAGGGTTCCCCAGCATCATTTTGACTGTTACCGAGGTGCCAGTGGAGGTGGTCCAGTGCCAAAGCCGTGAACAACTCGAGCAACGCTCAGCCTGGTTGCTGGATGGACGAAATGCACGCAACTTCCTCACGGGGCCACTGCATGCCGTATTGCTGGAGTTGCCGGGTATGGGGGCGCGGCTCCACATCGCCGTGAGCCACGGGCTTTCTGATGGCTTTTCGGGAATGCCTTTGCTACAGGACTTCGTTCGCCTCTACGATGCTGAGCTTGCAGGCTCGGCGGTCGTTTGTTGTGTCCTATGGCCTGGATGACTGACTGTCTGAATGCACGAATGAGTTTCAGAAAGAAAGACACAGAAGGAACAAAATAAACAAAGATCGAACTCTGAAAACGACGTGTTTTGTGTGTATACCGAGTTCTTTCTCGGAAACGCATCTAAGATCTGCGGTGTGTGTGTGTGTCTGTATATGTAGATATACACACATACAAAGACGTGATACATATGTACATGTATAACAGCCATATAGAAGTATATGCATACACATACATACATCATACATACGTACACACATACGTACATACATGCATGCATGCATGCATGCATTCATGCACATCTGTGTATATATACATACACATACACACATGTTGACACACATATGTGTATATGATGACAATATTTGTATGGCTTTATATTCATGTGTATGTTAGACAGACAGATAGATAGATAGAGACAGAGTGAGAGAGAGAGAGAGAGATAAAGAGAGAGATAGGTCTATAGAAAGACAGACAGAGACAGACAAACAGACTGACAGACAGATAGATATTTGTGTATACATATGTGTATATATGAATATAGAGATATATACATTATAAAACTATGTATAAATGTACATAGGTATATATATATATATGTATACACACACACACACACACATATATATATATATATATGCACCCTTGCTTTCAAGGCCGACCGTCCGAAGAGGCCCTGGATGATGCTTTCTTCGGCCTCACGAAACAGGAAGTTCGGCTGCAGGAGACTTTGGCCCCTTCTTTGCAACTGCTGGGGTTTGAGGTAGGGTTTAGGGTTTCGTTTTTTTTTCAGAACTCTGCACAGGCTTGTTGCTTAAGCATTTCGCAGGAGTTTTCCAGTGTGTGCTGACACGTTTTGATACAGGGGCTTTACTCATGTTTTTTAGCAGGGTGAGAAGCGTATTGCAGGTGCTGTGTTGGGGTGTGGTAAGGGCCTTAATGAATAGACTATGGACTTGCGGTTGTTATTCCACAGTCTTCTGCGGACTCTGGAGGGGATATTATGGCTGACCGACCACAGTTAGACCTCTGTGTCGAAGGCTTTTGGGATGTTGGCGCCGCTTGGGGCTTCGATGTAATCGGGCAATAGGAGGGGGGGGGTGCTTTAGTTCTTCCTAGGTCTTGGGGGTTCGGGGCGGTTGGGGGATTTGTGGTTTCTTTGGGCTTTGTATATCAAGGGGGAAAAGGAGGGACCCTTAATGGGGACCCCTACCCTGTAATGGGCTATGTAATGGGTATATAATAGCTATATAGGTATATACCCTGTATATATATATATATATGTATATATATATATATATATATATAGGGTATATACCTAGGGGTCCTTATCAAGGGTCCCTCCTTTTACCCTTGGAGTATAAGTTGTTTGAGTAACGTCTTGATTTGTTGGTGTTTGCAGTTCAGGCCTCTGGGGAGTGGAGTCTTATTCCGTGTTGGCTCCGGAACCCCCAGCCCCGAATGATTACCAACAGCATAGGGTAGTATTATGGTATTATGTTAGTATAGTAGTACTATAGTAGTATTATAGTAGTGTTATGGTAGTATTATAGTATTGTAGTAGTATTATAGTATTATAATCCGTTATTGCCGGTGTTGACATTGAGGTCAGGGCAGGCTCCGGCGGCGGCGATCTCCAAGCCGACTTGGGCAGCTGGGCATTGCCAGCCGAAAGTGGCGATGCCTTCGACCATTTCGTGTGGCTGCAGCAAGCGCACCTGGACTCCAGCATGAAGTCGCAGGGTCGAAATAGGGGACTGTTTACGCGGCGAGGGTTCTGGATTGGCAAGAATATGTCAGCACGACTTTTGTTTGAACAGTCTTCTCTGCTGAGGACGTTTGCATCTCTTGGGCAAGGAGCTGGAGAGAGGTTAGAGTAGGAGGAGCTATAGCTACCATGGCTAACTAAAGCTACATGAATCGTCAGTGCTGCAAAGATGTTTGGAGGCTCAATAAATATTACTGCGTTCTCATGATGCCTCTTCGGGTACCTGCTGTGCTGGTTCGCTGTTCGACTGGTCTGTTTAAGGGCCTAAATACTTACCAATACTGTTATGTAACCCTATAATTAATAAGGGGTATAACCCTTTGGCAGGTTCAGGGTTTCAATGAAGAGCTTTTGTGCTCGATGTGGGCTCCTTCGCAACCGGTCTTCAAAGCTCTCAATTCCGAATCTGGCTTGGGGCGGGTCGCTGCACCTTTTCTGTGTGCCTGTGTTTCAGAGGTTAGGATTGAGTCCCAAAACATAGCCCCGAGGCTAACTTAGAGGCCTCAAAACGAAGCAGACTGAACCCATCTTGAGAACGTCAGTCCTCAGATCTAACTATGGATTTGAACACTTGGCCGTACTGTTGCTCAGGGCTCTGTGTTATAACTACGGTATAGCAACACCAGATACCATAAACCCGTTCAGTCCTAAATTCTATCACCCTGCGCCTAGCTCCAAATACCCTGACCCCGAAACCCCATCTCTCCCAGATTCAGCCCTTCGTCCTGAAGCCAGAAAGCTCTCAAATAGGGGCCGAAATAACTATCACTGCTCTTTTTTGGGTTCCTTATTATAAGTATAGTATATTGGGCACTAAAAAAGCCCTAGTCTAATTATGAAGGCCCCTACCTTACCCTAAACCCCTAAACCCTAAACCCCTAAACCCTAAACCCCTAAACCCTAAACCCTAAACCCTCAAGAAAGTGATAAATAGAAATTGCTTGTCCTTGCTTGTAACCACCGCTAGGGCCCAGCATTTCGGTTAAAACTGGCGTTAGCTTCTTGATAATCCAATTTCGCACAACCACAACCTCAACCATTAGCTCAGCCCAGCCAACTCAAAACAGCCACCACAACCTCAACCAATAACTCAGCCCAGCCAACTCAAAACAGCCACCCGATCAAAAACGGAACAAGCTTCTTGATAAACCAATTTCGCACAACCACGACCTCAACCTCTAACTCAGCCCAGCCAGCCCAGCCAGCCCGGTCCAGCCCAGCCCAGCCCAGCCGGCCCAACACACCGATTAAAAATAGAATAAGCTTCTTGACAAACCAATTTCTCCACACACTTGTAACCACCATTACGACCCAACACACCGCTTAAAATTGAACGAGCTTCTTGATAAACCAATTTCTCCACAACCTCCAACCCAGGCCCACCTTCCCAGACCCCAAATCCAGGCTACCATTCCCGAAAAGGGGTCGCAAAAGACCAGCCCCAGCCCCAGCGCCAGGACGGTCAAAACGTCTCGCTCCCAAGTTTCGTTCAAAACGTTTCGCAGCCCCCCAAGAAATTTGAAAACATGGAGCCTTTCGAACTCCTAAGGATTTTGAAAGCCCGCAACTCCTAGAATCCTCTTTGGACACTGCGCTTGGATTGCTGGAATTCAGACCCTTCAGAACATTTCGAGGTTTGCCTACAAAAGCAGGCCATTAAGCAGCACAATCGGCCGGGTGATGCAAACAAATAGTTGCAACAGCATACTACTGCACGATATACCTGTTTGTGCGGGTCAGCTTCGTAGGTCAGTTTGCAGAATGTAGGCAGGCTGGCAAGAGCAGGTACGTGTGCGGGTCTGTAGGCAATTAGGCAAGGCAGCTGATTAGGTGGTTGATGAAGCAAAAACTGATCCACAGACAGGCAGGTAGGTCGGCGATGGTAGGTAGCTAGCTCTTTCCGTTGAGATCTCATTCTCTTGCTCATTGCTGCACTTCAGTCTTGAAGCCATCACGAGGGCGCCCAAGACGCAGCCCTCGTCGACTCTCTGGTTGCCGCAGGCTGTGTGAATGGTGGTGCTAAAGTGGGTGCACTTGCTGAATATCACACTGAAGCAAGACGAAGGTTGACCACCTTGATGACCCTTTCGAGTCTCTGGATTTCGGATATCTACTCCTCCGTGTCGCACTTAGGGCAGGTGCTTGTGTAGAATTGTCGTTGATGTTTGCACACAGACCTGGACGCGTTATGATACTCTTCGCCACTGTTAGAAAAGTGTCAAGCTTTGGCTCCGCTTAGGAGAACCTTCGGTGGGCTGTTATGTCGGCGGTGTACCGCTGCGTCAGTGGCTGGCGCGAGCGCGTGAGGCAGAACAGTGTGCATGTCATTCACTACGATCCCGTTATCAATGTGCTCTGTCAAAGGGCCTTGATGTATTCCTGCTTGGAGGCGGAGGTTGTCCGCTTGGTCCTGTTGCTCAGCAGGGCCGAGCGAAATCGCCTGGCCCATGCGCTGAACGGCAACACTGCGTGACTCGGTTTGTCCCTAAACTTCTGGCATTCCGTTAACCTCTTGCTGATAAGTATGGATGTAAGCGGAGCAGACGGATACCCGGGCTGTTTGCATAGTTGGGGAGTTAGGATGGTGTGAGGCATAGTTTATCGTCAGGTCTTGTCGCTGTGCATGCATGTCTGCTGACAGAGCGGGTTTTCGGTAAAGCCCTTTTTCACGAGGCATGCAATGAGTCAGCCTGAGTTCCTATCAGCCAGAAAGCATTAGCAGTCGAGAAAACCGGCTGAGAGACAAAGGGTATCCTCATGTTAAGTTTTGATTTCTTGGTTTGGAACATGCTGTTCAGCTCGACAAATCCTGGTCGAGAAGCCTTTTCATGATACTGGGCGTGTTGATTGCTTGAATTACAATCGCCTTGCCAAGAAGTGCTTTGCGGCATGAAGTACATGTCCCGATCGATTTACACGACATGTCCTGACATGCAGTTCATCGTGGCGGTTCATGCCTTGACAAGATACATGTGCTGCTGGTCATCGTGCAGCTTTGCACTGCCGCCTGAAATGTGCCTTTGAAATTGTTGGCCACGGTTACGACCTTTCCGGTCCTGGAGGTTTGTTTTTTTTGTTTTGCTTGTCTTGTTTTTGTTACTCACTACAGGCTCTATGTGTAAACCGTCGCGCTGCAGGCGAGGGAAATACCTCGCTTGATGGATTTTGACCTGATAGATATGGCATTTTATCACCTGGCGTTGTTGCCATGCCGACTAGCAGCATGGCGTTCATACTTGCCGGTGACATGGCCTTTCTTAGGTCGGGCTGCCAGCTCTTCCTTCTGCCCGAGTTTTACGATGTCCTGCAGGAGAAAGTCAGGCGAGAGGTTGACCATGGAGACCGGCGCTGGTGCCGTCTCCTGCAGTGTCTCTGGAATTCAACCTTAACCAAGCTTCTGACCGGAACCCCGGACATGGAGGAGTGTGCCCGGGCCTTTGCTGTACAGGGTTGGATGTGGAGGATCATTCACGTGGTCGCACTGTTATGCTAGAATCTTGAGGCTCTAAAAGTCAAGCTGAACAAGTTTATGTCACTTCGGGAAGATCGTCGCCGGCGAATTCTCGCGAATGCTGGAGTCTATGTCTACACGGATGCTCGATGGATCATTCATGTTTTCCTAGGCTCTTGGCCGTAGAGGGGCAAAAGCCTGGAGATGCACTGCCATCCCTTGAGGTTGGCGGCGAATCTGACGAGCAGGAGTCTGAGGAAGACCATCAGATGCTGCAGGCGGTGCCAGTATAGGAGTTTCGGGATTGGCTCGACTCGGTCTTTGCTCTGGGCTGTTTGAACAACTGTCGGAGGGTGACGATGCATCGCATTGGTCGCGGGAAGTAGATATACTGCGTCAAAAGGAGTTTATGCATGGACTTTTTCAGGGAGCACTTGGCTTCGGCGTAGCTGAAGCACTTTAATAGAGAGACCTTGCTCAGGCTGGGGGGGGGCGACTAAGAGCTGACAATCACGACAGCGACAATGAATCCTGGCCGCGGACGGCATAATGTGTAAGAACAGGCTTATGAGAACAGGTGGATCCATTGCACGGTTTCATATCTCTTTTTGCATGAGGTATGCATTGACGGATGGTGGGGTGTGATCTGGAATTGCCTTAATTGTGGAAAGCGTGGATCCAAGGATTCAGCGGCCAGCGAATCGGCTGACACGACTGGTGGGTCGAGTGGCAGTGAGACAAGTAGCAGTGGCAGTGACAGTGGCAGCGACAGCAGCAGTAGCTGCTCCACCAGTAGTTCTTCCAGTGGGAGCACGAACGGCATGCGCATCGAGATCGAGGACATTTCTGATGTGAGATCTTGTAGCATGTAGATGTCGCAGCGCAGTGGTCTCGGCCGTTTTGGGTGGAACCCAAGCAAAACGAAGAATGCGTTGACACGGCACCAGCATTAACTCGATCTGTGGAGGAACTGCTGCGCCCGAACGAGCGCGCTGTCATTTTGAAGGTGCATCCGCCCAGCAGACTCAGCAGAGAGCTCTCAGAGCCGATCTACCTCTGCTGTTTTGGACAGCGGCGCAACAAACCCACAGTCGTGCGAAGCCTCGTCCCCACTCAGAGCTGCCTGGATCAACTATGACGGAAGTGCTGGGTATGTACTCTCTTCTCCTCGGCTGTTGTCCTGTCCATGACCCACTTAAACTTGTCCTTGTTGTTCTTGTTATATTTCATGTTCTTTGTTTCTCTCTTTCTTTGTGTCTTTCTCAGTTTTGTTCTCTCTCATTCTCTGTCTCTCACTTCCTCTCTCGCGCTTTCTCTGTTGCGTCCTCTCATTCTCTCCACCTCACTCTTTTGCCCCTTCTCTCTTTTGCTCTCTGTTCATTATCTCTGTCTCTCGCTCTGGCTCTCCATTTTGTGGCGCTGATTCTTTCTGTTTTGATAAGACGTCAGAAGTTGAGACTGCATCTGTCGCTGTGGGTGTGTTCCTGGATTAGGTTGGCCGGCAGAACTGAAGCTGCTTACGACAAGGGAGAATGGCAAGGCTTTCTACTGCAGCAAGCTTCTGGAGGAGTCGGCTTCGGGTAGGTGGGGGCGCGACCGGGTTCGGATTTGTATATTGGTCTTGAACCTGAACACTGCACCGTGGAAGGTGGCTAATGGAAGCAGCGCTGACAGTGGAGAAGGCCTACAGCCGCATGTCTCTGCTGCTGTGCCCCACTACCACAAAGTGGTGGAAGCCAGATATCGACATTGAAGCGCCCCCAAAGGAGGCTTTTGTGAACCAGGTCGGAAGTAAAGTCTGTGCAGTCTATGGGTTCGTAATTTAAGGTAAATGTTTGAGTCATGCGTCTACTCGGTCACCGATTCATTGCATCCTCGTGGCAGCTGGGCGTGGACGCAAAAGACGGCCAAGCTGAGCTGGGCATAGAAGCTGCGCGAGAGCTCGGAGTCTGCGAATTAGATGGCCAATCCAGGCCCAGCCCCAACCCCCCCCAGCCCCCAGCCCAGCCCCCAACCCAGCCCTCCCACCCCAGCTGAACATGCAGAAAGCCTCCCCAGCCCCCAGCCCAGGCTGGCCACAGCCCAACACCAAATCAAGGTTCCAAAATCAAAACTCTTGTCAAAACGTTTCGGTCAAAATGTTTCGCCCGAAACTTATTGGCCTCCAAACCCTTAACAACCCCCCTCCCCAGCCCCCAACACCAAATCAAGGTTCCAAAATCAAAACTCTTGTCAAAACGTTTCGCCCAAAACGTTTCGCCCAAAAGTTTCGCCCAAAACGTTTCAGGACCCAAACCCTTAACAATTTCTATAAACCCTAACGTCACCCAGGACTGGGTTGATTGAGGGTTCAGAATGCCAAACACATGTCGTTGTTGGTCTGACTCGCATTCAGGGTGCTCGGGCTTAGGGTTTAGGGTTTAGGGGTTTAGGGTTTAGGGGTTTAGGGGTTTAGGGTTTAGGGGTTTAGGGTTTAGGGTTTAGGGGTTTAGGGTTTAGGGTTTAGGGGTTTAGGGTTTAGGGGTTTAGGGTTTAGAGTGCATTTGGGGGTCGAGATCTGGGTTCAAAGGTGGTAATGTAGCACGAAGACCCAGGACGATGACCACCCTCCAGACTGTTGTCGAGCGGCGGAAGTGGTGCTGCTCCTTGGACGTGGCGGCCACTTGGACTCTGTCAGCAATAATGGAAAACGACCAGTCTGACTAGGCCGCACTCCGCTCATAGTGGTATCGAAACCACGTAGTTATGGTCCCTATTAGTGGGCCCCAAACCCTGCACCCTACAGGGAACTCCAAAAAGTTGGAATATGGTTTCAGGGTAGGATACCCTATAATTTACCATAAAGGGCTTAGGATAATCATATTCCAACTTTCTGGCTTTTGCTTTAAGCTTCTAGCTATGCAGGGCTCAAGATGCCCTTGCATGCAGGGACTTTCAATCAACGCACAGACAAATCTAACTGGACAAGCCCAATTTCAGAATCCGAGTGGCTAGGTACGCATACACATACGCGACTATTTAGTCATTGTGTTCTATCTGTCTGTTCATTTGTTTGCTGATTTTCATTTTGTGGCAATTTGTTGTGTGTGTGTATATATATATATATGTATTGATATTGGCAGCGCCGTGGATCCCGCAGATAGTCTCAGGCATCTTCATTGTGCGAGAAACCGTGAGCAGGAAAATTGCAGCAAATGGGTGGTAGGATGAAGTACCCTGGGCCCTAAATGTGTGACGAATGAACAGTCCAATACTGACAATAGCCATATTCCTATAGAAAGTATGCTGCTGATGATGATGATGATGATGAATATGACTATTACTGTTATATGCCTGGGCGGAGCAAGCTAAGAGAGCGGCGAGACGAAATCCCAGTATCAGGATACTGCACACGCCGCGTGTCCACAGTTTGTTGTTCGAAGTGCCTCTATCAACTCTACATACCCTAGGACCTAGGTGCTTGATCTCTTGCCTATTTCATCATATGCATCTAGTTACCGTCTGTTTGTTCAGGGAGTAACTCTTGTTAGCCCGTTTTCGGCAAAACGAGAAACGCATGTGTGTGTGTGTGTGTGACTGCTCTTGGCCATGGGTGTATGTTGACAACTTGAGGAAATAATATATGGGGCCAGTGTTTAAAATCGTGCATGTCATGCATGCCCCCAATATTGCTTCACCAGCTGTTTATCAGTCGTATGTCTTCAAGCATCTATTTGCTGTTGGATCGTTCTGGTTATAACTCTTGCCATCTCCCTTATGCATGTCATATGCTCTAGTCTTGACATTCTCCGTTTGCATTGGACATCGATCGCGATCCAACTACGGTAAAAGTCTTAGCGATGTTTCTTGGCCAGGAGTGGTAGTTAAGTTCGTGCTACTGTGAGGCATTAGTGTCGTGTCTAGTGTAATCCAGCAGAATGAATATCTAGTACATAGGAGATGCCTGGGAGGATACACACAGGAATCCAGCAGAATCAATATCTAGTAGGACATGCATCGGAGGATGCACACAGAGGAACTTTTGGATATGTCCGAGGTGTTTGGAAGCATAAGCACCGTGCACTTGGAACTGTACTCTTATAGGGAGCTCGATGAAGAAATATGAGGTACGCATAGCAACGAGGATAAGAGCAAAGTATCATGTATGTTTACATATATTATATGCACATGTATTTTTCGGTAAATATAACAGTTCCTAAAGCCAAAAGGTTTCAGGGGACGTACAAGTATACAGGGCTTTCCTAATAGAGAGCTTACAGGATTGCCAGGGCTGGATCTATCTAGTTACCCTGCGGTTAGCAAGGTTTCTGGCTAACGGCTGTACCAGGGATGAACAAACCTTACAGTAAGCTGAACCCTTGAACCCATGTCACGTTTATACACACATGACCAAATGCATTTTGCGACATGCAAGTTCACACGTGTTCCCTCGAATTTCTAGGACCCGCAGCCCTCCGAACCCGGTCGCATGGAATATGCCCGTACATAAGTAGATGTATAGAACGGGCACATACAAGACCGCACAGTCTGTTAAGCCAAGCAGCTGTTCTCAGTGGTGCTCCCTGCCAAAATGACCCATGCAGGTATTGGCATTGATCGGCGGGGCCCTCGCACGGCTGAGTTCTACCGGCTCCCTGCACCTGCGCTTCGTGGCATCTGCCCGGGATGCCCCTGGCGAAGGAAGTGTCTTGGCTTTAGACTTTAGAGTACCATGCTCTAACACTTTTTTGGGCCCTGTTACTTAAAGGGGCAGCCCTAAAGACTAATCCCCAAACTGTAAATCCCTTTCAAATCCCTAAACCCTAAATCCTTTTTGATTTTAATCCCGGGTTACTTCGAAGCCCAGGCGTTGTCGCAGATTTCGCAGACTCCAGGGATTTGGACCTCACCTTTCCGGCCAAGAAGCTCGTGCAGAATCGTGCAAAGCAATCTCCCGAACATTATAATGCATCATGTGTATGACATACTACATGTTTCCTATTACGTTTATGTTGTGTGTGATAAGTTACATCTTATATGCAGTATTCGATTTTGTACATGGTGTATAAATACATATATACACAGACTTATCTTAAGTGTTTGATGTGTTACATATGAGATTCGGTTCATTGTTCACATCACATCATCTACAATGCATGTATTATACATACTTACATATGTTTATGTATCTTACTAAACAGACAAGCATGTATGCATAAGTATATATACATATATGTACACATGCACACCGTCTTGCTCGAGACCTATAGAATGCGTACAGGTCTTCTGCACTCTCAGGACCACTGTCGAGCAGGCCGTGTTCGCCATTGCCTCTTGTGTCCGTCACCGACGATGGCATCTGCCTGATGCTCTCACCGACGCCGAGGAGCGCACCTACATCAACGTCAGGCCCTTGTTGCAAGGATTGAGCTCGCCATCGTCCTGGCATCACACCACTCAATGGCCTCCTGTGGAGGGCGAGCGCAACTGGGATCGCCGGAACGTATACCACGCCCTCTGGATCATGGCTGACCAGGTGCCGCCGGTTTCTCTTTAAGTTTCCCCCTGAGTTTCGAGTCAGAGGCCCAGAGTTCTAGAAATCGAGGCAGTCACAGCAGCCCGAGAAGCCCCCAAAGTTCTTGCTGAACGAGATGTTCGTGAAGTCCGACGGACGGTAACAGGTTTAACTTGAGTTTTCGACACAGAAATCTTGCAGGCCTGCCCATCACAGCCTTAAGCCAACGTGCCATGGCGACCCTTCTGAAATGACCTTCCCAACTCTGATCTTGATCTCAGAGCCCAAAAGCCTGAACCCTAGACATCCCTAAACACGAGAACCCCCAAACCGACAGAGAACGGAGAGCTTGGTATCTTTTTGGGGAAGTACGCAGGTCGCGCCACTGGAGTGGGTGCTATGCCTCAAGGACTCGGGTTTAAGGGTTGCACGGGTTTGTGAGGATTTCTGGTTCAGGGGTTGCAGGGGTTTAGGGGTTTAGGTTATGGGCTTAGGGAAGAAATCCTAGACTTGTTTAAGGAAGTATAGTCCCCTAACCCCCCTCCCCCCTCCCCCCCGAAGGTGTCTTTATGAGACACAGGGGTGGTGTTTGGGTTTCATGTCGATGCCCCTTTTGGGGCATGGGCTTTTTTGACTTCGGCTCTTGGGGTTGAAGCCTTTGGGGTCAGAGTCTCAAAGGGCAAAAGGAGGGAGCCTCAGTGGGGATCCCCACCATATAACAGGCTATATCATACGTATATAGCTCTAGTAAGGTTATATACCTGGGGGTCCTTATTCAGGGTTCCTCCTTTTAGCCGTGGAGAGTCGATGAGTCGAGGAGCCGCCGTGTCTGTGGTTTTTCGCCAGGCTTGGATGAGGAACGTTTCCTTTCACGGTTGAGTTTTGAGGGTTTAGGGTTGCTGAACCCTAAACCGCCGACCCGACCCTTCGAGAACTCCGCCCCCTTCACCGGGCACCCAAGACCCGTGCAGAGTCAAGTTTCGATGTCTGAAAGCACCTATCTGCAGTGAAGTGTATACAGAGCCTGAACAACAAGCTCAATAGCCTTCACATACTCTTCGATTTTCTGGAAACCCTGAACACCCCTAGTCACTAACAGCATAAAAACTAGCCCTAAATCCTACATAGACGAAACCGACATCCATACCTTGTGCTCAATTGAATCCTACGGTTGATGACATAAATCCTGCATTTCCCATAGTTAAGGAGTATACCATAATTCCCATAGTATAGGGTCCTTAAGGTAATGCAGGATTTATATCATCAACAGTACCACCAGTTCCAGCCCAAGAGGTTCGAAAGTCCCGTCGCGAAGCCACACGCCTCGGGGCGGCAGCTCCGACAAAGGTAAGGTTTTGGGGTTTAGGGGTTTAGGGGTTGCAGAGTTTAGGGTCAAAGTTTACCGTAGGGGCTTCAGATGTAGAGTCAAGAGGTTTTAGGTTTTCGCGGTCTTGCCTGCCGCAGAATTGGGAGTGATTGAGTCTGCTGAAGAGTGATACAAACATTAAGTTATGAGTTGTGAAGATATGTGATGATGGTGTTCGAGTGTTTCTGTTTGCTTGTTTCCAAATTACGCTGTTTGGCCTCATTCTTCCTTAACCCTTGTGTACGCACCCTTGACCCGGAAGTCTTCAAGTGAAATAGCAAAGTCTATGCTGCTTGGACACAACATATATCACTTGATCAGTTCGACAGCTCAGATTCTTAGGGTTGAGGGTTCAGGGTATAGGGTTTAGGGTTGATAAGCCACACAGGAGAAGAAGCAATACAGAGTGTGGCCTTTCCAACATTTGTGCACTCTCACAAGCGGCGCTTCCCAAAAACCCTTTCTCTTTTCCTGCTAAGTCAATCGGCCAGAACGAAGAGAAGAACTCTCCGGCAGGGCGGGAGAGGGCAGCGAATGTACAAGTTTTTTCTTTACAGATTGAAGGACATATAAGCCCTCAACCCTGAGCCGTAAAATTGCAACCGCTAAACCCTGGTGCAATATTGTCGAGTCACTTCTTCCTAGTTGCCATGTAGGTCCCGGCAGAATAAGAGCAGGGATCCAGAGAAGACATGTATTCCGTCAGCTTCTTGAAACAAGGTCCCCTCATGCGGATGGGCCAGGTCCATGTGGGTGAGCCAAAGTTTCTAAGTAACTAGTAGTACTGACAGCAAATACGGGCCAATAAAGACACGACTGCAACCAACGGCTCAGCTTGAAGAGTGATGTTCAGGTGATTTGGGCCCTTCCTAAGTAGCTCATAAACCCTGAACCCTTAACCCCAAATCTCCTAAGTAGCTCATAAGCCCCGGCTCAGGTCATTGAGGGTCTTCTTCTGGATCCCAGGCTGCAGACAAAGCCACCTGAAACCTTCATCTTCTTGAATCTAATATAGGGGATCCCCCCATTTTATATGTAGTTCCCTTATAGACCCTTTATACCAGCTCTTATAGACCCCTTTTAAAGGAGCCCTATTCTAATTACTAAGGCCCCTAGATTAGGGTGTTCGTGGTTCAGAGTTGGGGAATGCCGGCTTCGAGTTCGGGGCTCCCAGAATGCCCTTCCTGTCTTCAAGGGGTCCTACTTGGAGGATCATGGGACTTAGTAACTACTAGGGTTTAGGGCTCCTTTTAAGGGTACTATAGGGTTCTATAACAGGGTTCCTTAAAGGGATCTATAAGGGTTCTAGAAGGGGTTTCATGGGACTTAGTATGTAGGGCTATAAGTACCTTAATTGGGGTTATAAGTAATTATAACTGTAGTTACTTTACTTCTAACCCTACTTACTAAGTCCCATGATCCTCTACGTATGTGGATCCCTGACAAAAGGTTTGGAGTTCAGGGTTTACCTTAACCCTGAATAACCTACCTTTTTAGGGTGCCTTGTTATGATTTCGGAAAATAAATTCAAAAAAAGGTAGGTTCTTCGGGCTTAAGGTAGGGTTTAGGAAAGAGGGGTTTATGAATCAAGTGTCTAGAATTGCTTGGGCTCGCGATCAGAAAACTATGCTTTGAGGCGGACGACGCCTTGGTCATCTCGCCCTCTCGTGTCCATATCGACCCTTAGGGAGGTAAGGGAAAGGGGGGCGGGGGACTATTTACTTCCTTAAAAAGGCCTTATTAAGTCCTTACTATGGGCATTACGGCCGCCTACCCCTCCACCGTACCCCCTAAGGGTCCCTGTGATGTGTCCAATATACCCACCAGAGGAGGCATATACCCTATTTGATGTTACAGTAGGAGGGTCCACCCTAAACCCGAAAACCCTAACCCTAACCCCCAAACCCTGAACCCTAAAACCCTCAATGCGATGCATTGAAATGCGAAACCCCAAACCGAAATCCCTATTCCCAAGCCCCAAAACCCTAAAACTTGGTCATGGATGAGTGTTAGCTGTTTCCCAATACTGCATGCAAAGGCTGTGGTTGTCTCACGTGCTCGACCACCGGGGACTTCCATGTCAGTTGTGAACCTAAAACTCTCAGGACCTGCACGACAGGCCCGACGCAGAGCTCCTCGAAACCGAGAGCCCGTGCTCCTGAGGTGCTACCTGCTGCTCAATGGGTTTAGGGTTTAGGGTTCTACCTAGACCCCCAAATGTAGGTAATATTATAATGGCCCAAAACCTATAAAAGGCTATTATTCTACATATTTTTGGGGTCCAGGTAGAACTCATGTGTATATAAATATATATGTATACATACAGATACATGATAGGCAGATAGATAGGATAGAGTTTGAACTATGCTTTAGAGTTTAGGGTGTAGGGATTAGGGCTTCTCTTCTGGGTCGCAGCAAGCAGTAATGTTGTCCGATAGGGATCCTTGTTGTATATAATATACTATAGGGGCCTAAATAATTACCAATGCTAGTTTGGGCGTTCCTTAATATAGTTTTCCATTTTAGTTAGTGCATTATAGACATTATACTAGTTCATGTTTGGCGTTCCTTTGTATAATTATAGAATGAGCCGCCCAAACCCCGATTCTAATTATTCAGGCCCCTCGAGACCCCGTTCTGCCTCTGGCTTTCGGGTGAAGAGCTTGAGTTGACAAGAGTTGATTCAAGCGGCAGCGCCATAGATTCCCCAATGTCACTAGAATGAGACGGATGTAGAGATTTGAACAACTTCAGAATCATTTCCCGCTAAGCCCGAGATTCAACCTATGTTTCACCATGCAAAATCTCTGTAAAACCCCGTGGGTTTAAAATAAATTAGGGTTGTTTGTCCATGGAGGCCACTACACATCTGGCGGAAGTGGCATCGTGGAATTCATGCGAAGTGTTTCAGTCCTTCCAAATACGGGACCACCGTGTGATGAAGGGCGCGTTGGGCTGGAGCTTTTTGAGCCAATCGTTGCACACATGAGAGAAAGACATGTGTCGCAACATCGAAGGACCGGTCTTTGTGGTCTCTACTGTTTTTGACGCTTCAAACGAAGTGCAGGGAACGCATGAGCAAACAGGTTTCGACTTGCATTTCTGTCCGACGGACTTATGACGGATTTTTTCTAGTCGTTTCTGGTCTTACATCAACTTACATCTTGTTTTGTGGAATGTTTGGGCACCTTGTTTTGGCGGTCCTGGACTGCGAGAGGCGTATTAACTTCTGTTGTATACGCCATTATATTAGTTGGAAGGCTCTGAGGAGTCAACGGTTGATTACTTCATAAATCTTATCCTGTACACCAGGCTCTGGCCACCAAGTGGTTTAGTATTTGGGGTTTAGGGAATCAGGAATTTAGTGCCTTAGGGATGCAGGGTCGGAGGCGCAGGGTCTAGGTTCCAGCATTTCTAAGTTTAAAGTTCTAGTTGGTTGGAAGGTTAGGGTTAAGCCATAATACGCTGAGATGTAGCTCCTTTTATTTGGACCACAGGCCTTTTTCAGGAAGTTGCTGAAGTAAGGAGCTTAATTAGCCTTCACACACACACACACACACACACTCGTGCATATATATATATATAGATATAGATATAGATATAAATATAGATATAGATATAGATATAGATATAGATATGTATGTATTCGAATTTATAGTCTTATAAGCACATGTGCATTGGTGTTTATATACAGATGTATGTACCTATTCGTTTACTTGATCCTATTTCTTCATCTTGATGTACATGTATTTGCACATGCAGATGTAAACGTCTATGGGTATGTATCCATATGTATAGTACATGGCATATGAATGTATATCTGTATGTGTGTGTATATATATATATATACATACATACATGTATGAAGGCAAAAGGCTGCAAGTGCGAATGTAAATGTGTGTATATGTGCAGTGGCATATGTCTGAGATCTTGCAACATTTGCGAACTCATTGCATAGACCGTTTGCCTAGGGTGTTGCGTCTTTCATGTACTGCTTTTCAAGAGGGATATTGATGGAAGGGTGCAGGCCGGCTGCACGTTTGCTTGTATTGCTTATAAAATGTCTACATGAGTGTATGTATGCCCGGCTGCGAGCAAGTATGCATCTGTGTGTTTGCGGTTCCGTGTACGTGCGTATACACAGGTCCAAAGTTGTATTCAAATTAGCACACACATGCGCACATATATAGATATACATATATATATACATACATATACATATACATATGTATCGAGATGTCTGTATGTATTTATGCATGTATGCATGTAAGCATGCTTGTGTATATGTATGCATGTACGTACGGATAGATGTGCGTGTGTATGTATAGCGCTCCGTGTGGGTGCGCGTTGTGTTTGGTTGGCTGCGTTTGTTTCGGTAGAATGCTCACAGGTAATAAAGATGCCTTCCCAGCAGCAGCACCTTGAGTCTCGTGAAGCAGTTTTCGCAGTATGCCGCGTTCCTTTTTTGTGATAAGGGGTACTGCTCGTAACCCTAAATCCTCAACCCTAAGCCCTAAGCCCTGTAACCCTGAACCCTAAACCCTATACCCCTAAACCCTATAACCCTACCCTAAACGCTAATCCCTAACCAGAACCGATATGGGTTGGGTACGGCCCCCACTCAGTAATGGTTGAATAATACTCATATTATAGACTTATTAGGACCTTAATAGTAGCCCTATTGTAGACTCTTACTGTATCGGGGCAGTACCTAAGAGATGGGTCAACTTCTGGCTTCGGTCAGCTTATTGGCTCCATGGAGTCAAGATTTTGCGCTGCAGCACAGCTTGGCATGCACGAGGGCTACTGCAAAACATAAGGGTCACGCAGAAAACGACCTTGGCTTACCATGATGAATACTATAAGGGATCCTTACGACCTGGCTTACCATGATAACTACTGTAAGGGACCCTCTCTGCTATGCAATGTTTTCCCTCCATCGCCTTGCTGGTGGCTTGCTGCCCTGATGCGACTGTGACATCCCCTCGAGAACATGGCTGTCCCGAGACCAGCCCTGCAAAAGTGTATTAGGGTTTAGGGTTTAGGGTGTAGGTTTTAGATTTTAGGGTTGAGGATAATTGTCTCGAGACTGGACCTGCAGCAGATTCCCTTACCTTATAGCGGCCAGATGAACTAGTAGTAGCGTCTCCTCGTAGAATATACGACTACACTATAATATGGCTCAATGTTGAAGGCCTGCATGCTATTCGGTTTTTGAGCGTCTCTTGCATGTCGAGGAGAGGTACATTGCGATGCACGACAGCTGCTGCCACCGTCCCGTCATTAGCGCTGTTCTCAAGGCTTTGGGCACACTGTCGCCGGTGGACATGGCCCGCCTGTCTCAGTCAAGAGAGGAATATACTGAGAGCAGCTCGGCTCTTTATAGCGGCCGAATACAGACGTCGGAATATTACTGTGATTTTGTTAGGGTTCCATATTATTATGATTAGAGAGTTAGCTATCACGTATTTTACCCCCAAACCCTATCCTGATAGACCGCAAGGCTAATGTATTTTCGAAAGAAACCCAGTCTAGTCATTCAAGCCCTGATGCCCTATGTCATTTGGTTTCAGTGGAGTCCTGAAGCACCGATGCATCGTGCCGATGCGCCATACAGCTCATTGCTTTGCATTCCTGAAGTTTCAAGTTCCTGTATCAGCATACCGTCAGACATCCCCAACAGTCTTGTAAGCATACCATAACAGATGCCCCGAAAGCTACAATGCTAGTTGTTGCGGCCCCCTGCAATAAGGTGCGGCTGCAACTTGGGTAAGGGGTTTCGGAAGATGATGGTTATCTTCTTGACATCAAGATGATGGTTATCTTCTTGACATCAACGCTTTTTGCCGCAATACCGCATTACCCTTATAGTGGTACGATCATTTTGATTCATGGTATGATGAGTGCTGCTAACTGTCACGACTACTGCTCGTAGTGCTACCATGATTTCCATCCTGGACGGCTGAGGCGTTAAACCCTAGACCCCAGTCCTTAAAACCCGTAATGTGGAAGCCAGAAAGCTGGAACATCATTGTCCTTATGCCCACAAGGTAAAGAGGGATCCTAGCACGAACCCTCCGAAACCCATGTTCCAACTTTCTGGGATTCGCTGTCAACAATTAAACCCTTAAACCCTAAACCCGTAAACCCTTGAACCCTAAACCCTCGACCCCTCACACCCTAAACCCTTAAACCTTGAGGCCTGGAAGGCATCGAAGGGCTCATGCGGACCTACCTTCTCGACAGCGATCACGGTAGCTTGGACACATTCCGCAAGGGTTTAGGGTTTTAGGGTTTAGGGTCTAGGGTCGGGATGCCCGAAATCGAATGCAATGTTATTCACGAGGTTCCTTTGTAAGATTTCGTAAGTATACAAATACCATCACTCTCACGTCCACACACATAGGATCAAGGCCTCTCTTTGTCTTAGGATTTAGCTCCCCTGCTGCACACCCAAACGCCGGAAGGGACGAAGCTCACGCATTCATGGGATGCTGAGTGTTGCTCATCCCTATGCTCTTCAACGTACTTGGGGGTTCATGGGACTTAGTAAGTAGGGTTTAGGGCTCCTTTTAAGGATACTATAGGGTTCTATAATGGAGTTCCTTAAAGGGATCTATAAGGGTTCTAGAAGGGGTTTCATGGGACTTAGTAAGTACAGTTATAAGTACCCTAACTGGGGTTATGTCCAATTAGAAGTCTACTTACCTTTTTTTGTGGCCATAGTTACTAGGTCTCATGAACCTTTAAGTAGTTGTTGCTTTTGTTGGTTTGTTTCCTATGATAACGAAGCCAGATAACAAAGAAGTTACATGCAATATTGGAGGGCGCAGGTCCCGTACCCTAAACCCGAGGGTGCACCCTAAACCCTAAGGTAAACCCTCTGGAGTCCTGATTTAAAAAGAAGCCGGATAGTGGACGCCTAGCATTTTGGGATCAGAGTGCTCCAGGACCATGAGGTTTGATATTCGAGGGCACTCTGCGGCACTCTCAAATTCGGAAGAGGAGATTAGGATCCGAACTACTATAAGGACTTCTCTTTCGGAGAGATCCTCAGAAACCGGCTAAACAGGCTAAACCCTAACCCTAAACCCTAAACCCTAACCCGAAACCCTAAACCCTAAACCCTAAGGCCTAAACCCTAACCCTAAACCCTAAAGCCTGCATCGAAATCCAAGGCAGTGTGGATGCTTGGAGGCTCTTTACCTCGGCCTCTGCCCGAAGGTCCTTGATGAGCGTGGACCTTTTGAAGGATCGCTTCGTCTCGTGGCCGGAGTTAACATGGGAGCCTTGATAGGCTACGGCCTTAATAATTAGAATAGGGTTTTGGAGTCTATTGTACTGTAAATATAATGAGGAACCTCCAAAGTAGTATTGGTAATAAGTTAGGCCTCTAAATTAGATCATGCAGATGTGCATCTCCATGTCTCCAAGTAGTGCAGTAGCACCCTACGCTGCTTCTTTATAGCATGTGGGTGTACCAGCGAGCCACGCGGTCAATCTAAGATAAGCCTCCCAACTGCAAATGCACTAGAAGCAGGGGCCAAACCCGTAACGAACCACAGGGGCGGGAAGGGTAAACCCTTATATACTTAACCGACAGCAATGATTGTCGGAGGATTCCAGCCCAGCCCTGCCCAGTATTCTGGTCGGAAGCTACGCCCAAGCCCCAAATACAGAATTTCTGTACAGTGGCGTTGGGTATTAGTGAGTTTAAGACTGTTCGATATCCTGTCGGTGGTTTGATGCCCTACCGAGGTGAAGCTGCAAACTGTGGAGGACATTGGGAGGGGTGGGATCCAGTTCGGGTTCATAGAAGGCAATTTGGCATCTTCGCCAGCCTATGGCTCTGCAAACTGCAACACAATTTAGGGTTTAGGGTTTAGGGGTTTAGGGTTTAGGGTTTAGACCTGGTAACTTCCTGCCCTTCTGTGGTTCATCTTGACTTATTCCTGTTGCCCTAAGTCTCTGATTCCAAGTTACAAATTCTAGGATGCCCAGTAGTACCTTATTCCCTTTTTGTAGTCCTAGGTTACTTATGAAGTTACCGAATACCAAAAAGAGAGGCCTTTTTATTCTTAGGTTACTGGGTATCCTAGAGTTCAATGCAGTCGAGACTGCAGTCCCAGGGCACTTTTCATCCAGCATGTTTATTGTTTGGGGGCTGTAAAGGGAACTCCAGAAAGTTGGAACATGGATTAATGGTAGGATCCCCTATAAATTACTTTAAAGGGGTTACGATCATGATATTCCAACTTTCTGGCTTCTACTGTAAGCCTCAAGATCAAATCAAGCTCCTCAACCTCGCGTCCGTTGCTTGGTGCTGTGTCTTCATGAGCCTCATGAACCCTAAACCCTAAACCCTAAACCCTAAACCCTAAACCCTAAATCCTAAACCCTAAACCCTAAACCCTAAACCCTAAACCCCTGCAAGGAATTAGAGACCATGGCAACTCTAAACCCGAAACCCGAAAGTCTAAAACCGAGAGTGTTCAAGCCTTCAATTTTCAGGGCTTACCTTAACCTCCCAAAACCTACTTTTTTTGTAGTTGTCCCTATATTTTCCGTATTAGGGTGTATAATCAGAACCTGCAAAAAAAGTAGGGTTTGGTAGTTTAAGGTAGGGTTCATAGTTCAATTGGGCAACGCGGGCTGGAGCCTAGAGCCGAGACAGCAGACACGCGCGCATCCTTGCAAGTCCTTGTCCTGACGCTTGCTGATGCTTCCTAGGACCCAGAGTAGGCCCTTATTCCCTTTTTAAGGGTTTAGGTTCCCTTATAACACCCTTTATCCCAAAAAGGGCACCCTTTTTATTCCTAGGTTACTCTTTGGGTCTAGCTTCTCTTTGCGCGGTCAATCCCTTTTTCTCTCACTCCCTCCGTCCCTGCATGTTTAGCATTTGTAAGTATATACATCATGTACATTGCGGATTCCCATGTCCGGGCAAGAAGCACAGTCTCTGTTGTAGGTCTTTTTGGTTTGTCCAGTTGTATATTTAAGTACCATGGAGACTATAGGTAGCTTCATTCATTGGTCGGCTGCTCGTAATCGCAAGAGTACTCCGCCGAAGGTGTATGTTCGTTTGAAACAGGCTGATGTATTCCCCCCTGCTCTAAACCCAAAACCCCTAAACCCTAAATCCAAAACCCAAAACCCCTAGATCCCAAACCCAAAACCCCTAAACCCTAAATCCTAAACCCAAAAGAAAGACCGGTATCCTTAAATTCGGCGGAGCCAGAAATGCCAGCGCTGCTGAGAGGAGGCCCAGCAACTCTTGGCGGAGGCTCAGGGGACTATAGTAGAAGCCAGAAAGTTGGAACATGGCTTTAGGAGGATTAGTGCTAGGATCCCTTATACTTTACCTTAAGGGCATGAGGATAATGATGTTCCAACTTTCTGGCTTCTACTACAGGGTTTAGGGCTTAGGCTACAAGCTATAAGTGCCGCATGATCCTGAAAATCTCATGCCCAAATCCTAATCCCGAAACCCTAACTAGGATGCCCAGTAGTACCCTTATTCCCTTTTTGTAGTCCTAGGTTCCTTTTAAAGTTACCCAATACCAAAAAGAGAGGCCTTTTTATTCTTAGGTTACTGGGTATCCTAGCTAGCTCCTAATCCCCAAAACCTTAAACTCTAAGCCCTACACCGTAAACCGAAATCCTACAACCTAGCTCCTAAATCTTAAACCCTAAACCCCTTAGCTTTCGATCCTAAACTCTAACCTTAAACAGTTTAGGGTTTCGGGTTTAGGGTTAAACCCCTGAGCCTTAGACCCTAAACCCCACAACCCCTAAAACCCCTGACCCTAAACCCTAAACCCCTGAACCTCCGACCCTCAACTCGAACCCTAAACCCCTGAGCCTTCGACCCTAAACACTAAAACCTGAGACCCTAAACCCCAAAACCCTAAACCCTAAACCCCTAAACCCCTAAACCCCTAAACCCTAAACCCTAAACCCCTAAACCCCTAAACCCCTAAACCCCTAACCCCTAAACCCTAAACCCTAAACCCCTAAACCCGTAACCCCTAAACCCTAAACCCTAAACCCCTAAACCCCTAAACCCCTAAACCCCTAAACCCTAAACCCTAAACCCCTAAACCCCTAAACCCCTAAACCCCTAACCCCTAAACCCTAAACCCTAAACCCCTAAACCCGTAACCCCTAAACCCTAAACCCTAAACCCCTAAACCCCTAAACCCCTAAACCCCTAAACCCTAAACCCTAAACCTAAACCCTCAACCCCTAAAAACCCCTAAACCCACCCCTAACCCCTAACCCTAAACCCTAAACCCTAAAACCCTTAAACCCCTAACCCCTAAACTAACCCTAAACCTAAACCCCTCCCCTAAACCCTACCCCTAAACCCTAAACCTAAACCCCTAAACCCCTAACCCTAAAACCCCTAAACCCCTAACCCCTAAACCCTAAACCTTAACCCCCCCTAAACCTAAACCCTAAAACCCTTAAACCCCTAACCCCCTAAACCCCTACAACCCTAAACCCCTAAACCCCTACACCCCTAAACCCCTAACCTAAACCCTAAAACCCTAAACCCCCTAAACCCCTAACCCCTAAACCCTAAAACCCCCCCTAAAAAACCCTACCCCTAAACCCCTAAACCCTAAAAAACCCTTAAACCCTAAACCTAAACCCCTAAACCTAAACCCTAAACCCTAAAACCCTAAACCCCCTAAACCCTAACCTAAACCTAAACCCTAACCCCTAACCTAACCCCTAAACCCCTAAAAACCCCCCCTAACCCTAACCTAAACCCCTAAACCCCTAAACCCCTAACCCCTAAACCCTAAACCCTAAACCCCTAAACCCCTAAACCCCTAAACCCCTAACCCCTAAACCCCTAAACCCCTAACCCCTAACCCCTAACCCCTAAACCCCTAAACCGAGGCCGTTCCGGCGAACCGCCGCCTTGGCCGGGCGCTCTTCCGCTTGGCTGCTCGGACATCGGAAACTTCAGGGGTTTAGGGTTGAGGGTTTGTTCGGTTTAGGGTTTAGGGTTTAAGGTTTAGGGTTTAGGGTTTCGGGTTTAGGGTTTAGGGGTTTAGGGTTGAGGGTTTGTTCGGTTTAGGGTTTAAGGTTTAGGATTTAGGGTTTCGGGTTTAGGGTTTAGGGTTTAGGGTTTAGGGGTTTAGGGTTGAGGGTTTGTTTTAGGGTTTCGGGTCGAAGGCTCAGGGGCTTTAGGGTTTAGGGTCGAAGGCTCAGAGAGGTGTTAGGGTTTAGGGTCGAAGGCTCAGGGGTTTAGGGCTAGAGTTGAGGGTCGAAGATTAAGGGGTTTGGGGTTTAAGGATTAGGAGCTAGGTTGTAGGATTGCGGTTTACGGTGTAGGACTATTTCGGGTGTTGTTTCGGGATTAGGATTAGGGTTTTGGGCTGAGGGTTTTGGGGTTGAGGGGTGTAGGGGATAGGATTAAGTTTTGGGGTTTTGGGGTTCGGGATTTAGGGTCCTTTCGGAGATTGGGTGGTTGAGTTTCAGGGGCTGAGGGGCTTAGTGGTTTAAGGCTTAGTTGTTTAGGGTTTAGAGGTTCGAGTTTTGTTTCTTTCGGAAGGATTGTTAGACGCTCACAGTTTAAGGGTTTAGGGCTTATTGGATAAGCGTGTCGGGGTTTGTGGGTTTGGGAATTGATGGCTTACTCGGTGGTCAAGTGGGAGAGGTTGTATTTCCCAACTAGGGTTTAGGGTTTAAGGTTTAGGGTTTAGGGTTGCTAGATCCTGTTTACGAGTGGCTATTGAGAGGCCTGAACGAGTCTGGCTAGCATCAACCCCGTCGCATCACACAAGCTTTCTCCGGCTGCTTGCACATAAGAGCATCCGAAGATTGCCTGAGTATTATAGAACCAAGCCCTATGTAGTAGGAATTGAGGTAAGGGCCCCAATAATCGGCCTCTAGTTAATGTAAAGAACCCCTGCTATGCACCGCTTGTAGCACCCGACAAGATCCTCTGATTTAAGGAGACATACTACATTTTCCTTCTTGGACACATCTCGGCGGTAAGGCGGCAGCGAATGCAACTCGGCTTGTGTTCACGTTTTGGATGCTTTGCTGGGCGTTTTCGAACATTACAGAAACCTGAAAATCAGGGGGTTGCGCGACCTGAAACTCTAAACCCTAACTCACTGGACTGGTACTCACATGCAGGATGTGTCTGGTCACTTATGTTCTGAAACTGCCATGTCGTCCGGTTTAGGCTTTGAGGGCTTAGGGTTTGGGGGTTTAGGGTTTACTAGGACCCAGAGTAGGCCCTTATTCCCTTTTTAAGGGTTTAGGTTCCCTTATAACCCCCTTTATCCCAAAAAGGGCACCCGTTTTATTCCTAGGATACTGACTCTTGGGTCTAGTTTAGGGTCGTCTGTATACCCAACGTCAGGATCGCCTCAAGGCCGCAAAAGCGCGTGCTCTCTGCGCCAAAGCCCTGGAATCCTACACCCGAACACTTCGGGCTGGTATTCCCTGATGGTCCCTCTTAAAGCACACTCCGAAAGCTCTCCATCACAAGTCCATTCTATTGAATCCTAAATACCCCACCCTAAACTACGCCCTAAACCCTAAATCCCTAAACTCTAAACCCCTAAACCCTAAACCCTAAACCCCTAAACCCCTAAACCCCTAAACCCTAAACCCCTATATAAATCCTGAACCCTAAGCCACGGAGTTCTTTCTGCCGCGAGCCGGCTCCTACTTCTAAGGGCAGGGGACTTAGTAAGTAGGTTGTAAGTAGGGTTATAAGTACCCTAAATGGAGTTACCCCAATTATAACCCTACTTATAACCTACTTACTAAAGTCCCCTGCCCCTCCAAGTATAAACCCTCTACCCTAAACCCCATAGACCCCTTTAAGGAACCCTATAGATCCCTTTAAGGAGCCCTTTAAGAGGCCTTACTAAGTCCCCTGCCCATCCAAGTAAGGCAGGAGCTCAGTCTGGAGGCCACGCGCGAGCTTTTTGACCCGTCTCTGGAGCTCTATGAAGCCGGGATGCAGGCCTTGGGTTTAGGGTTTTGAGGTTTAGGGTTTTGGGGTTTTGGGGTTTTGGGTTTTGGGTTTTGGGGTTTTGGGGTTTAGGGTTTTGGGGTTTAGGGTTTTGCGGTTTAGGGTTTTAGGGTTTAGGGGGGAGTTGGGGTTCTAGGGTTTGGGGTTCTAGGAAGCAGGGTCACAGTTTAGGATGGTGTGGACAGGGCAAGAGTGAAGCCCTTCGCCGGCAAGCATGTGTTATCGGCCCATCGCCACAACCTTGCATGATGATACGTGAATGAATGCACAGCCAACATTACTTTCAACTATAGTCAAGTCCTGTCTGTGCTACATGTGGCTGCGGCAGACCCGTAATATAGGGGCTTAAATTCGAAATGGTTACCAATACTATTGTGGTATTGTGGGGGGTTCCTTATTATGATTGTAGTATAATATGCCCCAAAACCCTATTCTACTTATTTAGTATACTCAAATTCCCAAACCCGATTCTAATTACTAAAGGCCCTGAAGTAAGCTCTACGGACCGAACTTGTAGCGTAACTCCGAAGACCCCAGACACCATTCCCTGACGCGCACCTCAACCTCTCAAGCGTACTCCCAAAAGAAAGACCCACTTTAGGGTTTTGCGGTTTACGGTTTAGGGGTTTTGGGTTTAGGGGTTTAGGGTTTAGGGGTTTAGGGTTTCCACTTGCAGGCGTACAGCTTCCTGGCCTACAGTCTCATTCCCAACCTGCAGGCCTGGCTGGGTTTAGCCGGTGTAGTGGCAGAAGCTGGGTCTTGGGCTGAACAATTTCGAGTTCTGTACCGTCGTCGCTAAACTTCGTAGACGACTCTTGAACATTTCTTGAAAAGATGCGGGTTCCGGTCCCTCATAATTGATATTGTTCTTTTCGATTCTTTGTGTTCTTTGTGGCTGAGGGTCCAGCATGGGAAAGCGATCTCGTGCAAAGGGTCGGGGCTCTGAGGAAGCGCAAGGCTTCCAAGAAAAATTGCTGATATAGCCTCTCCCGCGACTACATGCACTGCTCCCTGCCGCAGATTCTGTGCCAAACTTGAGGTCTTTAGCCGTCAGTTGGAAGCACCGGTGGGGCGCGGCTATTTCCATGCGAACTCATCGCAGATGAATTCGGCTTCTTCGGCCCCGGTGGCTCTGCTCATCGTGAGCTTGGGAGACTGGGCAAAGACTGGATTTCTGACCCTTTGGAGTCTTTGTCAGCTGGGTAACATTTTACAGGTTTATGGGCACTTAAACCCAATAAGGACTCGAAGTATACATCTCTTTAAGGCTATCCTTACTTAGCCAATTGGAGAACTTTAAACTTTTTGGCTTTATGTAGTTGGTCTATCTTAAGGACCCGAAGTATATATATATATATATATATATATGTATATCTCTCTCTCTTTAAGGCTATCCCAATTATGAACGAGGAGTGTTCTCCAACATCGGACAGCCAGTCTTCGCGTGGTGGTGCTTGGGGACGAGCCGGGATTGCGTGCATGGCAACTAGCAGTCCAGGAGCTCAAGACCAATTTAGGATTTACAGGGAACTCCAGAAAGTTGGAATATGGTTTCAGGGTAGGATACCCTATAATTTACCTTAAAGGGGTTTAGGATAATCATATTCCAACTTTCTGGCTTCTACTTTAGGGCTATAGGTCTGTAGGGTTATAGGGTTTAGGGTGATAGTGCTGTAGGGTTACACGGTGTAAGGTTCAGGTGTATGGGGCTGTAGGGTTATAGGGTGTAGGGTTTAGGGTTATAGGGTTATAGGCTTCAGGATTGTAGGGTTCAGGGTTACAGGATTTAGGGTTGTGGGCTTTAGGGTTATAGGCTTTAGGGTCATAGGGCTTAGGGTTTAGGGTTATAGGGTTTAGGGTTCAGGGTTATAGTGTTTAGGGTTTTGTCCAGGAGCTCAAAGACCAATTTACGAAGTTTGAGGGCGTGACCTTTGAGTACATCAACTTCAACGACCATCCGCAGTTCTCCATGTACCTCGAGAAGTACCCCACTGAGACTTGTAGCTTTGGTGCTGCTGGGAAAGCCATCCTGGCGCGGGTGGTCTGCCATCTACTGCTGCCACCGGACATAGACAAGATTATTTCGATCGATGCTAGGTTCTTGTTAAAGCATTTTATTTAAGTTGCCATTATAGAGATCTATCGTAAAGAACAGGGTTTCCTCACCATTGTGTTACCTTAATCTGAAAATCCCGTAACAAGAACCCAGGATGTGGGTGACATCATCCTGCTGGACGACATTGCAAGCCTCTGGAGGGAATTCGACAACATGCAGGAACACCATGTGCTGGCGGCACCCCACGCAGTTCAATTGCACCATGTGAATGCTGGTGTGGTGCTCTACTACGTCGCGAGGACTGAGCGACATCCACCCTAAACAAACTACACCCTCCCAGGATCCCCAGTAGTACCCTTATTCCCTTTTTGTAGTCCTAGGTTCCTTATAAAGTTACCCAATACCAAAAAGAGAGGCCTTTTTATTCTTAGGTTACTGGGTATCCTAGGCTCATTCAAGCCTGAACCCTGCGCCCAAATCTTAGATTACGAATCCCAAACTAGAAACCCGACCCTAATTAATCCCTACACCCAAAAAGCAGAAGCCCGAGGATGCGGGAGAGCAACTTCACTGAAGAGACCCTGCGAGCTGTGAGCGACATGCAACGCCGTGCTCCCGACCCGACTTGCCTCCGGGAGTTCGAGGGTTTAGGGGTTCGGGGTTTAGGGCTGACAGTTTCGGGGTTTGGGGTTGAGGGTTTCGGGGCTTTAGGATCGGTAGAGAGTTTCTTTAGAGCTTACAGGGATGATACATGATGACTTAGGTCAAAGGGTAAAAAGAGGGACCCCTAATAAGGACCCCTAGGTATATACCCATAATAAAGCCATTATATACCCATTATATAGCCCATTATAGGGTAGGGGTCCCCATTAAGGGTCCCTCCTTTTCCCCCTTGATTAGGGTTCATGTGAGGTAGCAGTGCTTCAGAACTTGGGGTTTCGCTGCGCGCAAAAAAGGGCTCTCTAGGAACGGTGGTGATGGTACATGCATTTTGGTTGCGTAACGCTCCTACTAAGAACCCTAAATTTTAAGGGCTACGCCCGTGTGCGCCAGCGCATTTTCGGTTATAGCTTCCGAAGCACCGATTCACCCTGTGTCGCGCATGAAGAGCTGGTCATCCCAGTTCCCGCAATTCGCTTCAATTTACTTAAACCTGGTCCGAGCCGCTTGCTTCGATTTACTTAAACCCGCCAATCGAAGGATTACAGAAGAGGGCAGTGCACTGCATGTTTGCTTGAACAAGAGGGTGCCATGTACCTTATGTTCGCCCAGTTGAAGGAGGACAGGGGGCCATGTACCTTATATTCGCCCTTAATTGAAGGAGAGCAAAGGAGGGCCGTGTACCTTATGTTATCCCTTATAATTGAAGGAGAGCAGCGTAAGGCCATGTACCCTATGTTCGCCCTTAGTTGAACCGGAGCAGAGGGGGACCCGTGTACCTTATGTTCGCCCTTAAATGAAGGAGAGCAGAGGAAGGTCCTGTACCTTATAATCGCCCCTAATTGAAGAAGAGCAGAGGAAGGCCGTGTACCTTCGCTCGCCCGTAATTGAACGAGAGAAAAAGAGCAGAGGAGGGCCATGTACCTTATGTTCTCCCTTAATTGAAGGAGAGCAGAGGAGGACCGTGTACCTTATGTTCGCCTCAATTGAAGGATCGCAGAGGAGAGCCATGTACCTTCCGTTCGCCATTAACTGAAGGAGAGCGCGAGTATATCGTGCGTTCGCCGTTCGCCCGTGTCTGGAGAACTACCGAGGAAACATAGTTCACCCATATCCAAGTACTTACCGAGACGGCCCCTATACCGCATGTGTACCCTTTCTAGAATAATACGGAGAAGGGTTTATACCTACTTTATGTTCGCCCTCAACTGAAGGGTTGCTGAGAAAGCCTATATACCTGATGGTCGCCCTTACTTGATTAATTGGTACAGAAGAATCCAATGTACCCCTTCTGTTCGCGCTTAGCTGAATAACTACCGTGAAAGCCTCCTTTTCGCCTTCAGTTGGAGAACTACCTGGTTACTCTGCGAGTTGGCTAGATAACTAGTTGAGTTAGCTATGTCATAAATAGCTAGTTACATACTTTGCTAGTTAATCAGCAGACTAGCTAGTTAGTGACCCAGCAAGCTAGGTGGTTAACTAGGTAGGTAGGCATACAGTTCTGGATAGGCGTCCAGGGATTACTTAGTTATTTGGTCAGTTGGTTAAGTGTTAGTTAAGGAACTGATTGGTTCAGTAATCAGGCCCAGCGTCCAACAAAGGGCAGTATGAATAGGTGTCGCAATCGTGATGCGAGCATTAGGCATGTAGGTGGTCCGGCCGACAGGCAAGGAAGCCGGCCGGTAGCTAGATCTTGATTGACCGATTGACCTCTCAACCAGTTATGTTCGCCTGCCGCAGCGTTTTCAAGGATTGATATCTCCGCCCCGCTCCCCCTCCAACATGGGCGGCATCTTTGCAAGGGCCCCGACGTACTACTTTTGTGACTACTAGGAGGGGGCATGGCGGTGGCGTTGGAGGGGATCCACGTGGAGGTGGGCCATTGCGCACTGCAGCTGCGGGTGCATGGAGACGCTCGAGTGCTGGTGGCGGGAGACGGAGGCGGGAGGTCTAGAGCTACGCTGTTCCATTGGTATGGGAGGACAGCCCGCCACCGGGCTCGGGAGAAGTGGGAGGAGGAGCGGTGGTGCCCGGCAGGAGTGGGAGAAATGGCAACGGCAGCAGGTTATGGCAGCGCGCCTGAGCTCCAAGCTCCCTGCGGAGGTCCTGCGAATTGTCCAGGCCGCCGTATGCTAACCCGCCGGGCGGGCTTCCTCCTTCCCCAAAAAAAGTTATGAAATCCTTGCCTCAGCCAGATCATATACGGAAGAAACTTATTTACTTTTGGTTCGCCCCTCATTGGGCAAATACCTGGTAGGCCAATATAACCCTGGCGTTCGCCCGCAGTTGAATAAGCACTCTAGAGGCCCGCGTGCCGCCATCATGTTCGTCCTTAGTGAAACGCTTGCCCAGGTGCCCCCCCTGTACCGTACCTTCGCCTTTCGTCGGACAGTGGCCGAGTAGCTCTCGTGTACCTTGGGTTTGCCCGGTTTGGGGTTTAGGGTTTCGTTTTGAATTCGGCCCAACTGCCTAATGTTGAACCCCGATTTGCGGCGCGGGGTCGACCCCTCTAAAGTTGTCAAATCAGTGTTTCGGCGATGAATTTACTTGGGCGCCAAGCTGCGCTGGCGGACCCTAAACCCTAAACCCCTAAACCCTAAACCCTGTGGGTTTAGGGTCATAGATGGGGTTTGGGGATTTTTCAAGGTTTGGGCATAACTGATTAAGATTGCAGGATTTGAGGCTGTTTTTTTATGAAAGGCATCAGTATGGTCCGATACGTTTTAGGGAGGGTGGAATTTTTGGGTTTCGGGAGTTGGGGTCAAGGATGCATAGAGGATTTAGCGCTTCAAAGATTGCGAGATGATGCCGTTTGGGATGCAGTGGGTGTGGGTTTTAGGCTTTTGGGGTTCCCCTGCAATAGGTTTTCCCCCGAAACCCTCAACCCTGAACCCTAAACCCTAAACCCTGAACCCTAGACCCTAAACCCGAGCAGTTGAGGTTTAGGGTCGTTTTTTTAAGGGCCCTCAAAAAGAAGACCCTAAGCCCTAACTGCTCGGGCCGCGAGGACCAGTCCATCATCAATGTGCTTCATAGCCACCGGGAAGACTTTGGCTATGCTGGACCCAGCCCGGTGATGATCCTTCCCTGTCGCTGGCAAGGGCTTCCAAAACAGGGGATTTTTAGATGGCCTTGCAGCCCCAAAGCTTGCAAGCTAAACCCTTAAGCCCTTAATAGCCCTAAGAACTTATCGCCCGCATCAACCCCAACAAATCCACGCATTATAACCCTAAGAAATGTCTATCCCTTCAACGCCCCAAAACACTATAGCCATGTCGCTGCCGGTATTTTGAGCAGGTCGGTCTTTCCGACCACCGAGTGGCTCTCTTATTGGCGCCTCCGCTCGCCTACTATTCAGGGTTTTGGAGTTTGGGGTTTATATAGGGGTTTACGATTTAGGGATGATTAGGGTTGAGGGTTGAGAACGGTAAGGATTCTGCGTTGATGGCTGAGGGTTGAGAAAGTGAAGTTTAAGGATTTAGGAAGGTTTTCGTGATCTTTGAAGGCGCAGGGTTTCGTTTTCCCCCCCGAAGCCCTGCACCGCAAAGGGCTTAGTGTGTAGAGTTTAAGGCTAAAGTCCTAAACCCTACTTAAAGGTTCATGGGACTTAGTAAGTATGGTCATAAATAAGGCAACTATACTTATAATTGGATATAACCCCAGTTAAGGTACTTATAACTGTACTCACTAAGTCCCATGAACCCCCAAGTAAAGTCCTAAAGCCTCCACGAACACTTTGCAGGAACAGCCCTGAGAAGTGGCTAGACGAGCTTCGCGACAAGCGCCGCTATCCTGGGATCATCTCCATACACCACGTTGAGGCCCTGCCCCAAACCCTAAACCCTACACCCTTAAACCCGAAACCCTAAAACCCTTCTAACCGAGACCTCGCGAATCAGCTAAAACCCACACCCTAAACCCTAAAACCCTAAAACCCTAAACCCTACACCATAATCCCTAAACCCTAAACCCTAACCACAAAGGGGAGTAAAGTTCAGGGCTTGAGGTCCCTGTCGAAAAACGGACCAGCAGATGTTGGGCTACGTATTAGTGGGATGTACGGTCAGTGTAGTTCTCCTTAACCCTAAACCCTAAGAAACCACGTTTTTAGGGTTCCCTATTATGATTTCCTACAAGTCCTTGGGGGTTAAAGTAAACCTTGCTGTGGTGGATGACGGGAGTACAAGGCATCAAGAGGTGGACCAAGAACCTTCAAGTGGCCGAGTCTCACGTTCTGACACCTGCCAAAATGTGAAACCGGACCCACCATTGCCCTAAACCTTCCAGTCTGTATGCCCAAAACCCTCAAGAACTAAAACCTTAAAACCCGAAACCCAGCTCAACAACAACACCAGGCGAGAAGACCTGTCCACCACACCCCAGTGCTTTGAGAGGGCGAGCTCCAATCATGCCGTTTGCCGTACCCAGAGCCATCATACCACATGGTGAAGCCAAAGCCCTTAACCCTTAATTTTTAAACCAACGGCCCCCCAAACCCCTCTCTATAAACACTTGTATAATCGATGAGATTTTCTGATAAATCCCCTTGAAAACCTTACACCCCCCCTACATCCTAAGTCCACTCAACCAGTGGTTTCGAAGAGCCACTAAACAGCAAACACCACGCCCCTAAACTTCTCTTTCACATGCATGCATGATTTAAGCTGTAATTGTATTCGTGGGCATTTGCGATTTCGGTAGGTTTCGCAGATGCCCACAAAGAAATCACAGATGCCCGCAAAGTTTCGGAGATGCCCACGAAGTTCGTGAGCATCTGCGATTTCTAGGATTGTCGACTTCTTCGTAAGCGCTTGCGAATTTCTTTGTGTTCATTTGCGATTTCTTCGTGGGCATTGGTGTTTCAGTGGGCCTTGTGGAGCCTTTTGAGCTGGTTCCCTCGGGGCGCATGAATTGGATTCGGCTCCTGGTTCCTTGTGCAATGGTGGTGCAGTAAGCGCATTCGGCTCCATGTTCTTTCTTCCCAGATGGTGCATTAAGCAAGCTGCGTGAATAGGCCTGGGGTTTTAGGATTTAGGACCTGAGTTCAGGATTTGAGCTTTAGGTTTGCGATTTAAGCCCGAGTGTCCAGGATTTAGATTTATGCCCAGGGGCTCGAAACCCCAAATAAAATCGTTTCCTCATGTTCTGGGCATCTTGAGTGGCTGGGGTGATGTCCGATACCAAAGACCAGACACTTCTCGAATTGGAGCTTCTGAAAACCCTGAACCCCGAAACCCTAAGCCCTAAACCCTCAACCCTAAGGCCCTGAACCCTAAACCCTAAATTTTTAATTCTAAGGTTTTAAGCCCCGCACCCTACACAGGTCTTCTGTCCCGACGACATGGATCTCTTGTCAGCCTGGGCTTTCTTGCCACTGAAGTCCACAGAGGACGAATCCAAGCAAACGCGAATGCGCCCCACGTCCCGGTTAACTAGAATAGGGGGCTGCAAGGGTGTCGTAGGGTTTTATATGGTCGCTTATCGAGTTTGTAAGGTTTACAAGCGGGGACTTTAAGGTTAGAGTGAGGTTGTAAAGTATGTCAGAATGGAGCTGTCTTGGAAATGTACGAGGACAGGGGGGTACTAGTATAGTACTATACTTATTCAGACCTCTATGTTGGTCAGTTAGGCTTCGAAGACTGTGGAGTCACATCATCGTTGAACGTCGCATTTTGGGCAGCTTTTTTGGTCTGGGGTTGGAGGATGTCATTTAAGGGTTTAAAAGTTAAAGTTTTGGGGTTTGGGGCTTAGGGTTCAGCCTTTCGGGTATGTGGGAGTTTCCGAAATCAGGGGACCCTACTATCGTACCCTAATATAGTAGGATCCTTATTATAAGGACCCCAAAAGGTATCCGTAATTTTCGGAAACTCCCATGTGGAGGCACCTTTTTGCAGCTACTATAGGGGCCGTAATAATTAGAATAGGGTTTGGGGGCCCAGTATACCATAATTACAATACGGAACCCCCAAAATACCGAGCAACAGGGCATCATAATATAGGGATTTTACTAATTAGAATGTGGATATTATATTCGAATTGTCTTTATAACAAGGAGCCCCGCAAAACCTTACTCCAATAATTTAGGCCCGTATATCACTTTGACAGGCGCAAAGTTGCGGAGGCTGAAGGAGAGGAATAGGAGTTGGCAGCCGAGGCGTGGGTTCTGGGGGTGGGGGTGGGGGAAGTTTCGGCTTTTCTGAAGGTCCAGTCTATATATGCATGTATAGTATATATATATATATATATATATATATATGTTTATATAATACTGTACATATATATATATATATATATGTATATGTATGCATATATATATATATATATATATATATATGTTGCAGCTCTTCGTAAATACTTCGAGGGGCCCGAAAACTGCAGCCTAGATCTGCTAAACCCCGTAAAGCCCGATAAATCCTGAATCCCCCCAGACCCTAAACCCTAAACCCTAAACCCTAAACCGTTAAACCCTAAACCCCACAGACCCCCGCAAGCTCCTCTGGCCAAGGTCTCTATGCACACTACCACGGTACGAAGCAGGAGCGATACTGCTCGAACGAGCGGACTCAACGCTGCTGCCGCTGTGGGGAGCGTGCCTCTTTGCTGCTATGTCGCACCCAGAAGCTTCGCCAAACCGTATCCCATAGAATCCAATATCCCTGAATTGGGGAATATACCTTAAATCATATAAGGGACTCTAATTTCGGGCATATTCCTCAATTAAGCCATATTGGAGTCTCTGGATTCTCTGAGGTTTCGGAGTTTGAGGTTCATGGTTTAGGGCCTTTTAGGGTTAGGGCCTGAAGTCCACATGCAGCCATGCTTTCAGCAAAACAGTTCCTTCAAGGCTCCTTGAAGGCTCCCTTAAGGGTTCTATAAGAGTTCCTTTAAGGCTCCTTTAAGGGTTCTATAAGAGTTCCTTTCAGGCTCCTGTAAGGGACGTTGAGCCACGAATGAATCCGAACAGCCAGGCTGCACATCCCCGGGGACATGAAGAATTGGCAGGCCATGCGTGCGCTAAACCCTAACTTCCCGAAACCCTGAACCCTTGTGAAATTTCCCTGTCTTGGAGTGCCGTGTTGACATGTCCTCATGCGAGCGTAGTCTTTTGAGTTAGATCTGAACGCACCCTGTACGACAGACGTCTTGGGCTCAGACCAAAAAGTGCGCTCGTTTGTGTGGTTGGACACTCACTAATCCAGTTCCTGCTTCAAACTGGTAGCGGAGCTGTGAGGACAACCACTAGTGTTTCACCCCCGTAGAGCCTGTGGTCCGGGGTCCGTTGGGTAGAGTAGTGATAGTCGCGGCGCAAAGGCCCCTTCTATCTGAAGCCATGAGCGTGGCAGGTTTGCGTTACCAGCCCAATCTCTGGTCACAGAACCTGAGCCCTGCAGAAACCAAAAGCGGGTCGTACATATACGACGGTACGGCTGCTGGCTTCCACGATTGGTGCTTCCGGACACAGATCCGCGTGCTGCAACATAAGGAGAAGCAGCGGCGCGAAGCTCTTAAGGACCTGCGTTTTGCCGAGTCGGCAAGGGCCAAGAGCGAGTCACCAAGGAAGTGGCGTGGCAGGGCAAGTCAGGGGACCAGTGCATCGCCCACAGATGGTGATGGAAGCAGCGGTATACCCGCCAGTCCGTCCAGCGCAAAACGGACTAAGCCCGCGTCCGAGGCAGAAGATGAGGATGCGGAGTCATTGCCGTCGCACCCCAGCCAAGTGGCGGGCGACGATGAGCAAGAGCCGGACACAGATCCGGCGGTGTACACCTTGCAAGACATTAAGGACGAGTCGCTTGATATGAGCGAATGCGTTAGCAAGATCTTGGAGGGTCTCCGAGGAGACGCCTTTTGCATCGCTCGCGACGTCGGCCTGGAACGTCTGCTTCGCCATGATGGCGTCGACTACCTGATAGAAGAAATCAGGAGGCAAGCCTTCCCTCTTCAATCTGAAGAGGCGTCCGAACTTTTCCGTCAGGGACAGCTCCTGACGGGCCCACTTGCAAAGCAACCCGGCGAGCCTATGTTGTCTTACATAGCCCGCCGAAAGCGGTGGTGGTCGACCTTGCGTGAGCTGGATCCTGACATCCGCCTCTCTGAAGCAATGAGGGCTAATCTCCTTGTTGAGCTTTCAGGGTTGGAAAGGAACGAGCAGCTAATGGTCAAGACCGCCGCCCGCGTACACACCGTGGATGAGTACGCACGCGTCCTTGTTCAGCATCACTCAGTGGTGCACATGAAGGAACGTCTTCTTACCCAAAAGGACCCTAGTGGCCCAGGTAAGACTTGGAGACGTTTCGACGCTAAGCCCCAGTACCCTAAGTTCGGCTATATGGGGTATGATGGTAGTGCCGCAGAGTATGGTCACCAGGAACAACAGGAATCCGCGGAAGGCTACGGTGACGGCTACGGCGAAGAAGCATACCAGGCCACAGCGTCTGGGGGAGATGATGCGGATGAATGGATTGATGATGAGGATCTAGCATTGCAACTCAACGCCTATACGGCAGTGGCATATGAAGCTGAGATTGACGATTTGGATGATTCCTATGCCGAGTCAGTTCAGCTTGCGTACGCGGCACAGACCGCCTTTGCCCAGGCGAAAGGAAAAGGAAAGGGGAAGAACAAGGGCAAGTCTCCCGGAAAATCCGGAGGGAAGGTCGTGCGTAGCAATTTGACCATTGCTGACCGTAAGGCCAAGTTAGCAGAGCTTAAGGCAAAGAGTAGGTGCCTGAAGTGCGGTGTGATCGGCCATTGGGCCGGAGATGCTGCCTGCAAGTTTAGCGGTAAGGGCAATGGCCCCAAGGGCACCACAACCCCAGCACAGTCTGGGGGAACTGCCAACGCAGCCGCAAAGTCGGCGACGCCGAAGCCTCAGGCGTATTTCGCCGCAGTGGAGGAGGATGACACAGAGTGTGTCCATCTGTCGAATGCGAGCGCTGGTAGGCTCGAGGGTTACCCAGCCAACCTTGAGCTGACTCCCTCAAAGACCAATACCGGCAAAGGCCGCGGCAATGAAACCCTCTTCTCACCACAGCTTCGGCGCACAGCCGCCGCTAGGATCATGCGTGACAGCCCGCCTGAGGGTTCCGATCGCGTTTTCTCCTTTGGTCAGCATAAGGGTCTGACTTATGAGCGTGTCTTGTATACGTTTCCTGGGTATGTTCTTTGGGGACGCACGCAGAAGTGCCCATCCATAAATTTGGCCGATTTCTTGGATTGGGTCACGGAGTACTTTGATGTGCGTGATGATAACCCCATTAGCATCACGAGAAGGGATGTCCCTCTCAGCCAGGAACCCCCGCCTGAACCCTTTCAGCCCGAGGTTCGCCTCGCCGCGTCAGCTGCTTCGTCCAGCGAAGGCCCCCGGAAATGCCGGGGAGGTTGCAAGGAGTTCAACAAGTCGGGGAGTAACGCATACATAGACATGCGGACCTGTAAGAAATGCGGCACCGTCACCAAGACGAAGAAAGAGAAGCCTGTCATAGATCAGGCCACATGCCCCCACACCTCCACCGAGAGGTCGGGTAGCAGTAGGAAGACCTCCCGCATTAAATGCAAGCTTTGTGGGATGCTTCTAGATGAGCAGCCGCAGACCGAGCGAAAGGCTAGGGATGACGCAGCCACAGTGCTGCGGGAGTCCAACACCCTGGACTTCGATCTTCTGCGCAGCATAGTCGGCAGCACGGGGGATAGCCTCCCCGTAGAGGTAGTAGTTCCCGCTATTGCCCAGTTTCAAGAGACCATAGAGGGTCACTTCGTAACCGAGCCCGTGATATCCCGCGGTGACCTTCTCGCATATCTGCAAGAGGCCTTAGACGATCACTCTGCGCCATCGACCAACAACAGTTGGGAAGTGGCGTCGGCGAGATCGCGCTCCTCGAGGGCCTCCGCGACGAGGCACGCCTTCGTGGCTTTCACTGAGGGGGTCACAGATATCCATCCGGCTTTGGTTGATTTGCCCGTAGTAAATATCTACGAGGATAAGCACGTATACGCCGTGTTGGATGAGGGCTGTAACTCGACTGTTCACGGTAGCGATTGGATAGCAAACGCGGCGGGGAAACTTGCGAACTTCGGTTACAGCACGAGGTTTAAACCTGAGGGCAATCGTACCTTCAAGGGTCTTAGCGGTGCTACCGAAACCCTGGGTAGCAGGACCATACCTTTCTCTATAATGGGATTGGAGCAGGACTTGAGAGTTCCGGGCGTCCTTGATTCACATGAGATTAAGGGTACAGCCCCTCTCCTTTTGTCCCTTTACGCCCAGGCCCAACTTGGTATAACCAAGGATCTTCGGTTTGGTGAGTGTGGTGTTCGACTTCCTTCTGAGGATAGCATCATTAGGATCAAGCTGTGTCGGACACATGACTCAGGGCTGTTATGCATAAACATAACAGAAGGTTTGACCCAGGTGAAACAACCCCGTCTCATAAAGAGCTTCCAAATCCCCTCGCCGCCAGTTCCTATATTTAGGTCTGCCGCCGCCGCCGCCTTAGCTCACTCAGAGTCTGTGAGCTCACCTCGAGATGCAACAGCGGCAGATGACGCAGTGGCAACAAGTCGCAGTCACAGCACTGTAGATACAGGCCATGGTCATAGCACTGTAGGGCCATGGTCATAGCACTGTAGGCGTAGGCCACGGTCACAGCTTCACAACGACAGCTGAGAATCGCAACAACACTAAGCGACGCATAAGCGTAGCGTTCCCGAACCATTGCATGGTAGGCACGTCCGTAGGAGACACGGAGCCCGCCGCGATGGCCGCAGCAGAGGGGCAGTTGCCTAAGAAGGCGCCCCCAACGGCAAAGGCTGCACCGAAGATTCCAGCAGCGCCGGACCCTGGCCACAGTGCCATGGCGAAGTCCCCTGCGGTCGGCCACAGTGCCGCACCGGCAATCACTCCTGCTTTCGCCGCGCCTGCGCCTAAGGCGCCGCCTGGAAGTGGCTTGCCAAAGAAAGCGCCTCCCATAGAGAAGGCTAGGCCTGGGGATAGCCCAGGGATACCGCCAGCAGCCCGTGCCACAGTGCATCCGAAGGAGATTGCACGAGGGCACCGCGAGCTGGCCGAGTTCGATGCGGTTGTGAAGAAGGACCCGCATAACAGGCCCCTGGTTATAATGGCAGGTGGAGGACCCCATGGTCCGGAGCTCGACACTCCTCTCCCAGCAACCGTGTATAATCCGGATTTGGCCTTGCTGCCGTACTATGCGGGGGACACAGCGAACCCGGACATCATTATTGATGTTTTTACCTGGGGCTATGAGCACCATGCCTGGCTGCAACGCGTCAGAGGGAAGTGGACGGCAGCCGAGCTCTTCGCACAGCACGAAGAGATGGAAACGCATGCGATCACGACGTATGCATCTGCCACTAGCTATATGCTAGTGATGTTGGACATGGTGTGGCTAAAGGACGATCGGAAAGACGATCTGACGCCTGCAGAAGCCCAACAGCGCAACGACGAACAGCGCGACCGCACAAAGCATGTTGGGTCAAACCCCGATATAATTCGGGAGCACGCAGACCATCCCAACTTGATCGCCCACGTCAGGCACATCGTGGCGAACGTCCTTGACGCTAAGGACGCTGGGATTCGGTC